AGGTGGGTGTAGACATGGCACACGCTCGGAATAACCCAGCGTCTAAGGTGGGTGTAGACATGGCACACGCTCGGAATAACCCAGCGTCTAAGGTGAGAAATACTAGCATTTCCATTTTTATCTCATTCCTTAGAAAAAATACTCTCATGTGTTTTGTGATGTACACATTACATAGCTACATATGTATCAGTTATGAATAAATATGCATGTATTGTGGTGTGCTCAAACATTTTTTAATGATGTATACCATCAAAAAATTTGGAGACTAATTTGGAGAATGCTTTAAACAATGTGTAAGCACTTTTATTGTAAGAGAGCAGAGGGAAACTGAATCACAGAACCTCCATTTTAAGCTGTAAGCTGACATTTCTCTCCCCATACTGTGACAGGCAAAGCACTGGCATGTGTCAAAGGCCGGGGCAGTCCGATTCTGCTGCCCCAAACTTTGGATCTAGAGGGAGGGACAGTCCTGGAGATACACGGATCATTCAGTGATGGGAAGAGCCCAGGAAAGGCTGTGCCTAGGGCTGTGCCCAACACTTCTTCCGGGGCTTTCTCATGACATCCGTGAGCCACGCCATACCCTCCCCGTGAACGCCTTTCCTGCTTATGTTGGCAGAGTCTATTTCTATTCTTTGCAACTAGCGCAGTACTTTACTGATGCAGGAACTAGTGTTAGTTGTAGGCAACAGATACTCAGGAAAATCGGTGGGATGAAAGGCAGGAATGGTCATCTGACTTCACTAAGGATGAGGGTCGTGAAAATCCCATGAGTGCTGAGAGTAGTCCAGGGCAGCCTGTGACAGTTAACAGAAAATCAGGTAATTTTCTTACTGAAAAGTGGCCATGGAATGGCACGCCCATGGAAGGCTTGGGAGACCAAGTTGCAACCACAGAACCATAAAAAGGACCCGAGTGAAGTAGCTGCTTCTCTGGACAATTTGAAGATAATGACACATTGTCAGGTCAAGTCATGAAAACAATGCAAGCTTTTACACAATTACTCCACAGCCTCATCAGGTCTCTTCTATGAAAATTGGGACACTGACCAAGAAAGAGTGGGGCCTTCAGAAACATGAGTTCATGGGAGGACTCGGCGGACAGGGAGAGCCCTGTCTACTGCCCTCATTGTGGCTTCCCGGTCAGCTACCGCAGTCCCTACGGGATGCAGCCGTTCCTCCCTTATTTTAACAGGTTGTAACCCAGTTGTCTGGAAGTCACCTTGCAAGATGAAGCCACTTCTTGTGCCTTCTCACACATCCCTTTTTGCCTTTAAATCCACTTAATTAGGAGCCTGCCATTCCACGAGCTGGGGGAAATCATTAAACCAGTATCAAGTCCAGAAAGAGAGTTCTTAGAGAATTGTGGGACTGGAGGCATTTGATAAGAGTAAAGGTTATAATCTAGAATGAGGATACCTGTCATCAATCTTTACCAACCAGATAATAGAACTGTAAGGTACATGACTGAAAAAGAAACTGAAAACCTAAAACAGAAAAAATGAGACTGCGGTTGTACTGGCCTGTATTTCCATCCAGTTCATCTGCCCACTATGAGTGTGACCCCAGGCAAATGTCTGCAGCTTTCTGAGTGGCGTTCCTTATCTGTAAAATACAGGTGTGTATTTTCTGCTTTGCAAGGTGGTCCTGGGGGTGACTGTGGGACCACAGAGCACTCGACCCTCCACACCACACCCCAGGCCCCTCTCACCACCCCTGCTTCCAAGTCTTTGATGAGACTCCACAGTAAAGACTAAAAAGAAAAGAAAAAGTAAATCACTCTTCAGACTGAAGGAAAGCTAGGCTAGAGAGGTGGCGAGGAGGAAGTGAGCAGGAGGAGACGGACGACGCTCCACTTGTCACTTAGTTCTCTGATTCTACTGTGAAGTCCACACAGAACAACTGTGGATGACTTCAAGATGCTGTAAAAGAAAAGCTGCAGAATCACTATAACTAGCTACAGCAGTAACAAATGTGCTTGGTTCTGAAGTGTCAGTGTTTGTAAGTAGCATCGTTCCTCCAATAACAGCTTTTCAAAGGGAAAGGAAAGCAAAGGAGAAAATATTAGAACAGCCACAAAACGGTTTCAGTAAGTGATAAAACCTCAGTTCTCAGATCCATAGCCCACAGGTGACTCTCCATCTCCTCACGCTCAGACATGATAGATTCTCCTACATCACTCTGGTCCTCTACAGCCACTCACAACATCAGGGCCGCCCTGCTGTTCTTAATCCAGGCTCATGAACTTGACTTCTGTAGCACTTTTAGAAGTAACAGCAGAACACCATATCCAAGAATAATGAGGTTTTGTCTGAAGTTCCTATTTGATTATAGTTAACCTTGGAAAAAAAAGTTTCCGAATTAAAGAACACAGAATTGGAAATTGAATAACTTCTCTTGAAAAGCTAAGTTTATTGCCTAATATTCCTTCAAGACATATGGCTCAATCACCAAGTTTTGAAATTTTGTCTATTTGTTAGTTTTAGGAACTTCTATTTTCTACAATGCAACAGGTAATTTGCATACACACTACTTTTGCTTCAGTGATATTTGCAGCAATAATTTTTACCTAAACAATATTCAAAAACCAAGAAAACAAAAAATACTCCAAAAAGGTCTTTGTATTATTTCTTCTTTCAAACCACAATCCAAAGGGATGCTTTTCAAACTGAAGTTTGCCATCTATTAGGAGGCCACAAGATAACTTAGTGTCTGTCTAGTATTTTTAAAAATAACTAAAACAGAAGGTGCCAGCATGCACACTTAGGAAAAATGGGTACTGTCTTGTTAATTTTTGCTTATATGTATCTGAGAGAGAGAGAGAGAGAGTGTATGTGTGTGATGGGTTATCTCTTACTGTGGTCAAAGAGTTGAAAGCCACTGACGAGTAGGTCTCTGTCTGCCAGTAAATTAACCAGACGCTAACAGCATTTATTCTTCCAAGAACTCTGGGATAACTGTCCAGACCACAAGTAGGTGCTGTTCAGTCCTTTTATGGAAAAAATTAGAGAAATCAAACAAGTCTCAATAATTCAAGTAATTAAATAAAATACATGCTATCAATTATTGATGCTACATTTTGGGTTATAAGAAATTGATCTACCAATACTGCACAACAGGGAAAGAAAATATCCATTTCTTCCTTAATTCAGCATTCATCAGAATTATTACTGCCCTGTATAAAACTGAAATGGAATTAGCCTACAAATTCCCTTAAGTTTGAGCCATGATGGTATTTAAGATGGAAAAAACAAAAGTATAAGCCCCACATATAAATGCTTATAAACCCAGTATGAAATCACTTTTTGTAAAACTTTAATTTCTAAGACATTTTAAAGTCACACTAAAAGTATCTCATCGAAACAAAAGAGTAACAATGTGTAAACAAAACAATCTGTAAACAAAAATGTTTACTAGTTTACTAGTGTGTCCAAACGTTACTTTTAAAAGTTAACATTATACCAGTTTTTTCAAGTTTAAAAAGTAGGTGCCGCATCTATGTTCACATTTTTTAAAAAACCTATAATAATTCTGCCTTTGGCCGGGCACGGTGGCTCAAGCCTGTAATCCCAGCACTTTGGGAGGCCGAGACGGGCAGATCACGAGGTCAGGAGATCGAGACCATCCTGGCTAACATCATGGTGAAACCCCCGTCTCGTACTATAAAAAAATACAAAAAAAAAGAAACTAGCCGGTGAGGGGGCGGGCCGCCTGTAGTCCCCAGCTACTTCGGGGCTGAGGCCAGTTAGAAAAATGGTGTGAACGCCGGGCGAGCGGAGCTTGCAGTGAGCTCGAGATCTGGC